AAATTGCAAATTCCTCGCACATGTAACATCTCCATTGGGCCAAAATGCACCGATATCAATACCTCATATGTTACTTGGTTCCTCGAAAATTCTCCTCTTGGACTTAGCCTAAAAGTGTGGACACTTTTTAGCCTCCGGCGAAACCTAGAGTCTATACGGCTTCGCCGCACGACTAAAAACGACAAACTTTAAAAAATTTAAATTAAACATCCAAGCCTTTTTATTAGGCTGCCATACTATTTATATTCTTGAAATATCTGGGTTTTGCTGCTTTTCCTATCGCCTAATAAAGGTTTCCCCAAGTTCACCTGTCATAAAGCTGTTAATCTCTTTTCAGAGTATTTTCCACCTGTGCATTTTTCCTTTCTCAAGGTCACGGATTTGTCTGGAAGGAATCAAAAAAAGTTACTGATTTCATCTAAATTGCTGATGTCTTTAGGCTCTTAACCTTTTACTAACTTAGCAAGTTTTTGACACCAATCCCCCACAATTGCTTCCGCAACATCACTGGGTTTGCTATTAACTGCTTTGAAAAAGATTTGATGACTCTTCTAGTGATTTCAGCGGGAATTTCCATTGGATACAGTAAATTTAGGCTTTCCGAAGAATTTGAGTAACAGCAAACGGACGTAAGGCAAGAATCAGTAAGACACATTCCTTTAGCCGGTTGCCAATTTCATAATGATTTTTTCCATAAGCGAATACATTTTCCGTTAAATTCGCCGAAAAATCTTTCCATTTTGACAACTGGTAGCTTGCACTATTTACCACAGCAAATCCATAGGCCCGCAAAAAATTTCTGTTAAGATTGGTGTTCCGCTCTGAGCAGGTTTCACTTCAGGACAAAAAACAGAATACTAAACAGTGTCCGCTTACCTTCTTTTTCCCTTTACCAGTTCTAGGAGTTTCGGTCCACATTTCTTTAACGTTTTCTAATACCATGTTACAATGCCTATCAAATGCTTTTACTCTTCCAAGAAGTTTTCTATTATTTCGGCAATTGATAATTATCTGCAAAAAGACATTATTTAGGAAATATTTAAGACACGTTAAACATTCATACAAAAACAGCAAAGAGAGAAATCAGCCGATAAACATTCTAAAAATTCGTGAGGTCTGTAAGAAAGAAGATTTTCAGCAAAAAAACCAGAGGACCTTCATTAGAGAGGTCAACTTTTTCCTTAGTGCAACACACATATCGATGGTGGAACTACCAGACCATGTATCTTGTTTGCGGTGTTTAGAAATCTTTGCTCCCATTTTATTTTTTGAGAGAGAACAAATTAATATTCCTTAGAGCTTTCATAGAGTTTTCTTCGCACAGAGAAGAAAAATGCTATGCGTTGAAATGCTTTGAAATGTCAAACCAAATTGGAGCTATGAAGGTTAAAAGTTTCATTTTGTGAAAAAACTTTTAGCGGTGCCATCAGATAAGTTGACCATTGTTTCCTCCTGGTTTGCAAGCGATTTCGCACCACTACTATCCACATTAAAACATCCAACTCTCCCAGAAGCAAGAACACAAGCTTCGATAATTTTTTTAGTACTTTCAAATCTTATAACACTTTGAATTTTAGCCACACAGAAATCACAACCATATAAAAGTCGCGAATCATAACTGATAAATAGTTTTTTTACGATACAATCATGAGACAGATGTTTTCAAGGTGGATAGTAGCAAACACCAATTTGTGCAGGGACCTAAATTCGTCGCCTGTGCTTGCAAGCCGAAAGTAAACAATGGTCAACTTATCTGACAATACCTCTATGAATTTCAATAAGAAATGCTGGGGGCTCTGGATTAAAGCATTCTTCAAGAAAAGGCTACAAGAGCATAAATTCCCTTATGACTGAGACCTGATCTACAGATCCATACTGAAAAATTTGCTACTCCTTACTTGAGTGTTGTTCTTTACAGACTCTGTCAATATTGAAAACGGTCCAGTGGTAAATTCTTCCTCTTCACCCTTCTTCTCTTCACTTGCCATTTCGGAAAATTAGGGCACAAATATCTGCAATGAGAAATAAAATTTAATTTAAGAGACTTATTTACCATCATGAAATTTTGATATTCACTCTAGACACATAGATTACACTTAATGATCCACATCTACTAACTTTCTCCAAGGGGGATATTTAGATGAATAAATTAGCACCAGTCCTTCAAAGAAAAACATGGTTCATTTCAAGTACACATGCTGCTGCCACGGAGAACTCCGTAATGTAGACTGAGTCCCTAAATACTGGAGCACTGCTGAATTCAATCCACAAACAGTGGTATCAAGCTTTCTATTTGCCACGACGTCTTTTCAGTGACTATCATAACGTCATAATAAATTTAAAACGTGCAGATCACCTGATTTTAACATAACTTTTTACCTAGACCATCTGGAAGGAAAGCCAGGAGCTGGGAATCAATGAATGTGGCACAGCTAGTCATTGCATAGTAATTATAAGGGATTTTTTTTTCATTTACCAGCGGTGCAACCGATCACCAAACTGCGTTCTTTAACTCACTAGTTGGTGCTCACATCAAGACCGGTTGAACCACTGCCCGTGGATTTGCTCACAAACCTACCGCTCGGAGATTTCTCCAGTATTTCCAATCCACCGGTGGACAATCTAACCCTATCTCAGCCTGATCTCAGGCCAAAACAAAACATACAAACGAGAAAACTGGAGAAAACGAGGATATTTTGCGCCCCCCCCCCCCCCCTACTGAGTCCGATTATTCTGCATTGTCACTTTCGCCCATGCATTGAATTACGTAGGTAATATTTATTCAAGCTTTATTTTCCCTTGTACTTTAATTACAACATAAAAGGAGTTAATGCTGGTACATTGAGTATAAATTTCTATTATTGCAGTATCATTGAGGTAAAGGTTTGAAGAGAGGAATAAATTCATTAGTTTACATTGGTGGAAAGTGCGTTCTGAAACTCCCGGTTGAACACGGGCAATATCATACCAAAATGGCGACCAGTGGAATTCCACTGGTGCTTTCACCGATCAGGAAAAAAAAACCCCAATAGGGACAAAAAACTAGAGAGCCTCAAAATGAGACTTCATTGGCGCTCCAGTGTATAGTGACTCTGATGTACGTGGAGCTTAATTGCCACAAGTCTAAAAGGCGCCTTTTTGAAAACAGACTTCTGCAACACATCAGTACCATCGTCACTCTGAAGTGCTCAGTTGAGAACTGATAAAAAACAGGGCTCGATAAATGCTGAACTTCAATAGAGGGCTTTTTTTTTTATCGCGGATCAGGGTGGATCGCTCTGGATCTGGATCGGAATCCTGAGCGATCCGGACCGATCCAAGTGTTCCAAGTGATAAAAAAATCCAAACTTGGAATTTGGTTCGATTTGTTATTGTTTTGATTTTTTGGGGACGGCAGGGACGAGTTCTATAGGACGCCGTTCTGTTGTGAGCGGGTGATTGCAGCGCATTCTCGCGTAGGATCCTAGTCAACTCAGAGGATCCTTCCCCCCGAACCTCGACTCATCCATCGCCCACTCCAAAAGTGAGGTTAAGCCGGAGATTGAAAAATAACACATAAGGCGGCTGAATTCTTGAAAAATAAGTATATTTTTGGCGTTTTTCGACCCCTTTCGACAAGGAAGGGCCCGCCGCATCTTAATGTATGGTGAAAAATTCGATTTTTCGCAGTTATACGCGATCCTACGGATTTTAATGAAGTCCAACAACTGATAACAGCAGTGAGTTGCGAGGATCCTACGCGCGATAGCAGCACTAGTACCTGCTCACGAATTTTTACATTGACTCTTACGGGAGTCCAGGGTCCTATAGAACTGGTCCCTGGGGACGGCAACTTCCTCGCATTAGGTTAGGATCACAGTGGATCGCGAGCTCGCTCCACCTCGGAAGAGCGATCCAGCGTTCCACCCTGATCCACCTGGAACGCTTGGATCACGCTGAGGAACGGAATAAAAAAATACCGATGTTCATCGAGATCCACCTCGTTCCACTGCGATCCGCATAAAAAAAAAGTCCTTAGATAGCTTAGTTTTACCACCCATTCCCATTCATCAAATCGATGACGATTTTGAGGTTAATCTTGCGATGAGTCGACAGCCAGGGCAAAGAGTGAATGTTTACTAAGGCTTTTACCTAAACCGAATGAAAACTTCTGACTTATGTAGAGGAAAATCTAATACGAAATTCCGCCGAATTTAAGAAAAAAATTATGTAAATATGTGATACATAGATGGGGGAGATAACATGATGCATGGAGCATGGATCAACAAATGAAGAGAACCAACGTTGCGCACGTATATTAAATTACCTTTCAAAGCCACAGGAAAGCAAATTTAATGCCACGAAACTGATAGAGAGTAAAAGCTGAACGGACTAGAAACAATTTCCTTAAAGAATATAGTTTTAAAATACCGGCATTCACATTCACACACGTTTTGCTGCTGCTTTTTGTCCGAAGCCAAAACAAACACATACACAACATTAGACACTACTGCTCCCTACCGCCGCAGAAAGGAACTACCCAATCTCTAGGACTCTAACCCCGCGCGATTTGAACAGCTGAAGGTCCAAAATAGTTTCACTCAAATGGTATGTGTAAGTACTCTAAATGAGTTTAAATCTATCATTAAAATTGTATTTAATGAACTATTGCGATGAGCTTTTCAAAAGAGACACAAAAAGACTATAATGTTATTGTTCCACTTCAAATTACCTACGACCACAGAGGTCAGAATCAAATGGTACTTGAACAATTTTCCAGTTACTTAGGTATGTACCTAAGTGTTGAAAAAAGCAAAAAGGAATGACTCCTATTTTTTTTTAGCGGGTGAAAAACTCATAATAAATATTAATGGTACAGGATACCGCATCTGCTCGTAAGGCGTTTTTGGTGCTGCTCTTATCATTTTGCAAACCAGTATACAAGATGAAACGCCTCTTTTCCATTAATGAGGTTTGAATTTTTTTTAATCATGTGTTAGAGCTCATTGGCTGGATGATATAATTGATAAGTCTTCCTGCACATGTTTCAATCAAATCAGAAAATTGACATTCTCTGACCAAGTTTTGGTATTCCGAAAAACCAATAAATGGCAACTACACATGGATTAAGGATGACTTTGTGAAATTTGTATGTAATGGTACAAAGTATAAAAAGAATAGTATGTACTTTTTTAATAATTTTTGAAGATGATTGCATTTCAAAAGCTGTTGCCCCATCAGTGGCAACACATTTAAAGGGTGCGTAACTTGGTTTGGCAAGACCGCAGAAGGGGGTGCAATTATTTAAGAGAGGATTCCAAATTTTCAGGGGTGTCTTTTTCCACATTTAACAAATTTAAAAAAACTTCATTCGACCAGGGAGTAGGGGATTTGGTAATCACACTCCCATCTCTGACTACATTTCATTCTTGAAAATTGGAAAATAAAAAAACGGCCCTACTTAATATTGGGCGGTTTTAATTTTGTGAATTTTAAGACTTTCCCTAAAATTTTCATCAGATTATACCAAGAGTGGTCTTCAGAAAAATTGAAACTAATTAACAAACCATAAGTAACGACTACAAAGGTATTCGTTATGTATTTTATTGGAAAGTTCAAGTTTAGGTACATACATCTAAACCTGATTGCAAAAAAATTTTCCATTTTGTTTGTCTGAGATAAAATGGCTATGAAGTTTATTTCACCAAAAATTACTATCAAGACTAACAAGGAGAAGAGGGATGGACTTGTCCAATGGAATGTGCTGTGCCTAATGAAGTAAGTACCCTTATGGAATTTTATAATGCCTGAATTTTATAGTGACTTATTATTTCTCTGATTTCCTAAAAAGCTGGGAGCATTCATTCAGATTCAGCTTCTGATACTTAAAAATCTAGGAAGATGTGTAAGAATTTTTAATTCAATACTTCTGCTTTATGTAGGCTGTTAGTAACATGTCAACACCAGTACGTAGGGAAAATACTTTTTTAAAGAAACCAAGTCCTGGAAAAATTTGTAAGTGTTAAAAAATAATTTTAATTAGAAAAGAGTAGATACAAATTCGTAACAAATTTTAGTGAAAAAAGAGCAATATTATTAAAATAACACCAGGAGATGAGGGATTTCATTAATCTTTTTCTGCAATTGCTGTTAAATGCCTGTCTATTTCTGCTTCTGATAGAACCCTGTAACACACGAAAGTATATATTTTATACATTAGATGAGAAAATCAAAAATAATTCAGAACGCTGTCTACAGAACCTACTATAGGATCTAGTAGATTTCATAAAGAAAACACCCTCATGAGCGCAAAAGCATGGAATGAGACTAGTTATTAGAGGTTTCTCATCATTATTTGTCTTTTTTTTTCTAGCACAAAATAAAGTTTCAAAATGAAGAGTGAACACCAAGTAGATGTTGGATGTTAGCTTATGGAAATTTTTTTTTTTTTTTTTTTTTTCAAAAAAGGGGAAAGGCTTTAATCAATCGACATTTCATTTACACACAGGAGCACAGATTTGAACTGTTTCTACAAATGGATCTGCTTAGATGTATCAGGGTGAAATTTTTTTACAATAAGGAACAATTTACTTTCTTCACAGCAAACGCTTGTGTTTGAACAGAACGATAATATTCATCTGAACTTGACTGAACCTTCCTCTTACCGTACAAAATTTTTTCAGAGCCTCCATACATATTACAAATACACGTGATTGATTACCATGAATTATTAATCACCGGTAGTAGGGCTGAGCAAATAAGGTTTTGTGACCTCTGATCGAATGGAATTAAATAAATTAAAAAAAAAAAAAAATTGTTACTAGATCAAATAAAAATGTATACCTATTTTTGATCAAAATCATAGAAAGAGCCATGCACAAATTCGCCCGTTTTTGGGCCCTCGAAATTGGGGTCGGTGTGAGGTTTTTTTTCATCTATAGGGTGACCCTTTACACATAATAAAATTTCAGATTGAGTATACGCACCGTTTTTGAGATATGGGGGGGCAAAGTCCCCGATTTTTACTCATATTTGCAGGTATTTTATAGTCGAACTTCGGCTGCTACAAGGTACCGGATGTAGATATTGAAGCGCGGTTTGCGGTGATTTGTCAAGCTATTTCTGGATTATTTTTTCACATCTTTTACAAACCCGCAAATGGTTTTTCGGGGGGGGGGG